TAAATAAATAAAATAAATCAGAAAGCTATTTCTGAAGATCGTTGTTTTTATTTTGGAATAAACAGTTGGTGATCGATTAGCCATTTATTCAATTTCTTGACACAGGAAAAGAAGAAACAGCAGTGTGTCTACTAGTGCTGTACCCGAGGTTAGCAACTTGATCTGAGCTTCCATTAAAAGTTTTTTCTTTTTCTGATCCATCAATTTAAAAAAGATGACATTTTACTTTGCACAATATGACCACTTTAGGTAGCTGTATGAATCTGGACTGAATTATTCTACAGAAAACAGATAATATCTTAAAGAAATTAGCCCTGATTATATTAAAATAATAGTCTAATTTCATATTTATGAATTTAACCTTGTATAGGGTTGGAGCTAATAATCGGGTTAAATAATTATTAAGCTTATCAACCACTTTGGTCATCAAAACTGGATGATTACTTAAATCTTATAATCTATAGATATAAACATTTATTTTATAAACATATGTTATAACAAATTACCCATTAAAGAATACATTGTTTATTAGTATATTTATATAGTTAAATGTGCATGATTTTATTTATTTTTTTTTTACATGTTTTACCAGTTTGAATTCATTTAAAATGTGCAATCAAGTTTCATGTTTTTTCCCTCTGGTCTATTTTTATCATTTGTTCCTGGATGTAATTCTGACTCCCGTGCTGCGGTGGCGCTAAACCTATTTTGCTCTCCTACCTCGCTACCACTACCATTTTTTTTGCACACACACACACACACCTGCATAAACAGTAGGCAAGACAGACATGGCGGAGAAAAAAGATGACTTACACACCCCTTGCAGATTCAACTCATTTGTGTAGAAGTATTTTGTTATGTATTCTTGAGTATCAAAAATAATCGAACCGTTGGGTCAGGAAATCGATACTGAATGGAATCGCCATGATGCGTGTGATTTACACCCCTACAGTGGACCAGAACTATGAAATCATGCCCAGCACAGCTCATACTGGAGGCAGATGAACATATGTTGCCCCTAGCAGACAGTGAGCAACTTTTGAAGGCAGGGGTGGAGTGGCCATAGGAAAGGTTCAGCAGGATTCCAAAAAGGATTTTCTGTCATGTGTTTTATTATACGACATAAAATGCTGCATCATCGCTGCGCCATTTAGGGATGTTTCAATCTGATACCAGATCAAATCAGATTATATCAATCAGAACCTCAAATCTCCAAAATTGGCATGCTGATTAAAACACAGTGCCTCTGACTGTCTAAGGTTTTGTGTAACCAGTAGGTTAATAATAAATGGGTCACTTGTTCTCATAGCTACTGTTCTCGACTATTGTTTGGTTAATATCACTCAATCAAACCTTTTCTAACTTTCCACACTTCTTAAAAAATCTTCCAAAAAGGATGAACTAAAAACAATTCTGCAAGTAGCAGTGTTTGTTTGTAGATCAGGTCAAATTTATCTCAACTCTGCAAAGTTTTAGTTTTAAAAACAGAGTCTAGGTCCTAACCAAATTTCTTCCCCCCTAAAGGAACCAAACATTTCTCTCTGGTGTAAAGAAGATCTACAGCAGCATAGCTAAACTGCTAAAAATTAACCAAGATCAAATTAAAGTGACAGGGGACCAAATGATGTTGGAATGAAGCGTCAGATAAGGTGGTTACAAAACAGCAGCAGCATGTCTCCAATTTATCTACAAAGGTCAATAGGAAACATACGCTTAGAAAACACAATTTAAAAAAGGACATTTTGAAAAGCATCTAATACACACGGCAACAATAAGCCTCCTGATTAGCATTGGGTCTCAACAGCAGACTTGTTCAGTGACAATAAATGAAATCACAGTGAAATACTAGTTCCAGGAGTCTCCATTATTAACTATGGCAAGAAATATATTCCAACTAAATTCATTGTATAAATAAATGATGTAAGATCACACATGAGATCTGCAGGCTGGAGAAATAACAATGAACAAATAAACAAATGAAGCAGCTTTGAAATTAACCAAGTGTAAATTATTTCTTAATGATCCTCACACTGAACTCAGTCTTTTATTATCCCAGAAGGCACAGAAGTGTTCCCACATAATCAGCAACCTTTCACACAAATAAATCGCTTTTTAAATTAGATTAAATGAGCTTTGTGTGAGGCCAGGCAAAGGTTCTATTAAATACCAACATAGAAAAAAAAGCAGCTAAATGAAAAGCTGCAGACCAATAAAACCAAACTCCAAGCAGAACAAAGAATAAAGCGACTCACCGTTGACAGGAGTAGTGGTAGATCCATTGCGGCTCTGGGAGACTGAACCTCCCGACAGGGTCCGACTTAATCCTGACATGGTTCGCCCAAAATCCCTAAATCCACTGCGAGAAATATCCCCTCGCCCTGCGGGGTGCTGGGATAGCGTCCGCGGTCTGAAATGCCTCCAGCGGCATGCTTTAATGTTCAAAAGAATCCGGCTAAGATTAACAGGTAAGGATGATGAAGGGGGCGATGACGAAGGTTGAGGACAGCTGGAGGAGCCGGTGGGGTCCGAGGTATTGGTTTCTGAGGTACTGGTGTTGGAGCTGCGAAGCGGAGAGCTTAGAAGTGGTGAGGAGAGCGGTTCTGGCTCCGGGTCGGAGTCCACACTCTGGGAGATGTCCAGATCCGTGTGGGCTCTGTCCATTAAAACTCTAAAACACAAACAGAAGAAAAAGAAATCCTGGTTAGAAAGGTCTGGATCGAGTCTAGGCCTGGAACTAAATCATATTTTAGATATGGATTTATACATATACAGTTGTACAATATTCAAATATATATATAAATATATTTTTTTAGATAATCTTGATAATACTCAAATTAATATTTGATTACTTGATATGTAACAATAATTTCTAGAATGGATTAATCACAGCCAGGTCCAAGTATTTCAACCCACTGGTAAAGTCAAAAAACACAAAGAGGAAACGTGTTACATTTTATATAAAATAATAAAAAGGGACCCATTTCTAAAGCATTTTTCTAGTCATATTTAACTCTCAAAGTGTTTAATGTCATGAGATCACACTCACTGATGGTCACACAACTGTACATAGGCAAATAGATAGGCCACTAAGGTTAAAATGCCTTGCCAAGGGGCACATGAACATGTGGAAGATGGAATCGAACTTTAAATCTTTCAATTGCAAGCCTTCTCTTCCCACAGAGCCACAGTTTTATGGACCGTAGCTTCTGTTTACCACCGCTGAAAGCTACAGTCCCATTTTAGATCTACTCACCATGTGGAGGACACAGCTAATATTGAACTAGCTGATCTGGCCAGATGAGACCAAAACAGCACTTTAGAGGCCATGTGCCACATGCTGGCTGTGGAGAACTTTAGCTTAAACTATTTCTCAGGTGGACTGAAAACAAAAATGCTTAAAAAACGATTTAGATTTTAATCTACAAGAAAACTCAAACATTCTGAGTGCTCCTTCTGCACAGCTAATCTTTATTTGCATTAGTCAAACATGAAATTCTAATTGTATACATTCAATTTTAAGATGCATCCAGAGAAAGACATTTGTTTGAATAATCAAACAGACAATATAAACATGCATAACATTAATGTCAGCGTAAAGTATACTACAAACCCTGAAGGAGACATAAGGCAGTGAAACAAAAACAAAAAAGTTCTAATTTAAACATTTTGGACGTTAATGTCAAACACATGAATCTCATTACTTTCCAAATAAATCTGAGAGAAAATATCTCATTACACCAACTAAAACATTTGAATTCAGAGCCTAAAAGATTTTTTCCCTCCCTCTGGATCTGGTTGATAAGATCGCTGTAAACAGAAACACGCCTGTGAAGAAAATCAGAAACTACCCAGATGCTGTGTTTTACACCTGGCACTGAGACAGATCTCACTAAATCTGTCCAGTTTATGTTTTTTACTCAGTGGCGGAGTCATCAGACCGAGCTGCAGGACAAGTCTCAGCTGCATCTGTTTTGGGATCAGCCTACCAGCAACAATGATGGGCGATTCCCACATTAGGACTGTCACCTCCATCATATAAACGGCCAGCTGGGTATTTATAGAGGAATGTGCTTGCCAAATGGGAGCTGGGAGGCTGCCAGGGAGCTGGTATGCTAAACAACCTCAGCATCTCCAGCCAAGTCCTGCTGAGAACAGAAACTGGCTCCATTTCTTCTTTTATTCCACATTTTATTCAAATACTTTTCGGGCCTCGTCTAACGGATATACAACCCTAGGAACCCTTTTTTCTTTTTTCCCCAAAGCTGTTTTACAAACAAACTTCTGTGGGTTTTATTCAGTCCTTCTGCAATACACAAATTATACAAGTTTTATTTTAAATTTAAGGAAATCAGAAAGGTGTGGATTAGTGCTCAGCCCACTTGTTTCTATGAAACTACTTTGTAGAAGCGCCTCAGTCTCTAATGGGGTTCGTTAACGTGCTGTTCTGCATTTAGCTTCATTTTCAACTGAGCACCTTCTTGGTCCTTACAAATTAAAAGCATCCCATCATGTGATCACTACGTCACTATGGCCGGGTTGTGTGCATTGTTAATAGCGTTCAGCATGTTAAAAAAAAAAGTTTTCTTTTTGGTCTCATCTAACAAGATAAACTCCGTCTAGATTAGCATTTCTTTATATTTAACAAGTAGGCAAGAAGACCAACATAAAGAAAGTCCCTTTTATTTCATGCAAACCAAACCATTCAGTGAGAAAGACCAGAAAGGAATGGTATACTGTGTGAACTCACCTGCCCCCTCTGCCCATGCGGCGCCGTGCCAAACCGATGCAGCGCCATGGCGTGTTGAGCGAGGTTAGACAGTAGCGGTAGCGCGGGTCGCCAAGCCCACCCTCTGACGGGCTTACCCAGGGCCAGCTGCCAGCCTTGTCTGGACGACACTAGAAGATGAAAAACAAAGAGAAATCAGGTGTTGACTAGAAAAGGCTGATTGGTAACGACCGATCTTGATGAACATATGAATGTTTTTACCATCTTTAATGGTTATGCTGAAAAAGGTAAACAGAATTTTGAAGATCTTTCTTTACCTCCGTCCTATAGACTGCAGAATTTTACTCTTCTTGATTTACAGCAATAAAGGGACCATAAAACCTTTACATAAATAAAAAGTTAATCTGAAGATTTAGCTAGACCAGATCGAACAGGCTACAAGATCTCAGTTCATCCTGCTTTGTTTTCCTCAGTCAGAGAGGAAGGCTTGCAAGCGGGCAGCCTGTTGTTAGCGCTATAAATAGAAACAGCACAGGAGTCACAGGAGGGCACTTACAGCGTAATACTGACAGCCAGCCTTTCTCCTGAATGCGTAGCAGCCATCTGGGTCATTCTCCTCCTCTGCCTCAGAGGAACCTGAATGGATCTATAAAAACAGCAACGATGAGGTCAGAAAAGGGCAGAAAAGAGCTGCAATTGTTCCATTTAACACTGGGAACAGGGAAAAATGAATCTGAAGGAGTAAAACTTACATTAATAAATCAATCAGTTTCATTTTTACATATTTAAGATGAATCAAGAACTCAAATTCATCAAAATTACAACCAACACACCTGTGAGAAGGGCTCTTCGTCTGAGCTGGGGAAATCATACTGGTTGAGGTCCTTAGGATTAAACACGAAGGGCCCTGAATGTGGAGTTGCTGACATTGGAGCCATTTTGGGTTTCTTCTCATATTTCCTTTTGGTTCGTACAGCCTCTGCCTTCTCAGGCTATAAAAACACAAAGAGTAACATGTTTAAACTCCAGCCTGTGCAAACTTCATATCATTTTTAAATCCTAAAATCAATAATTAATGAGCTGCTAACTCAGAAGTGAGACACTATGTACACACAGCCTATTAATAGTCAGAAGGAACAACAGTGAGCCAAGGAAGCATTCATATGCAGATGGAGGCACGTGGCAGATGCCGCCACCGCCGAGCCAGATGGCAGCTTCTCGCCCCTGTGCCACCTTTCACCCAGACTTCCCCAGCGGGACGACACTTCCCTGTCTGAACAGACTCTACCAGGATTAGGCGGATTCCTTTCAGCCTTCAGAGTTCGGGGACAAAGCAAACAGAAAGGAAAGTGTTCTGTGATGGAGTGATGTGCTGATTCAATGGAGGGGGAAATGAGACTTTAGCATAACCCGGCCTGCAAGCTGAATTTTGGTGGTATTTGTGTTTTGAATAATCAATTAATATCATTCTATATCTATCCAAATACAATAGAAAGTCAAATACTCATAGTTAGTGGCACTTTTTTAATCCCAAGCTTTTAACAGAATTCTGAATTATAATTTAGAAAATTCTATTCTGCAGCCTCTTTCAGGTGATTTCTGGATGGTCATAAAACCATCCTTCCATAGTCTGATAAACCAGACTAAATGAGAGACTAAATGTGCAATTTAATCTGGCCCCGATGAGAATGAGACATCGGAAGATTGTTGATGAGAACAACCCGTTGTCTTTCAAACCATGTCTGTGCCTATTGGCCAACGCTTGGACCAATGAACGCAACTGACTGTGATGTAGTAAGCGCGACAGAAAGCTATTGGGGGGGGGTGCAAACAAACAGCATGTGATGTGAGCAGTGGATAACTTGTTGAGATCATGGAGTTGGACTATTGTTGTCGTTTGTGCAAAAAAGACATGCGAGTAGCCAGTGTACTACACCACTGTACACAACGTTTCTGAAGTTCAAATCAACCGTTGTCAGTGGCAGAAAGATTACAGAAAGTTGGAGTGAACGTTTCGATTACATCTGGGAAATCCAACCGAGTCCGTCGAGCTTGTACAACGGTGTTGAATAGACTGGAAAGAGGTGTGCCAATTTATTGGAGGTGGATTGAAAGCAAGGTCGAAGTGAACTCGGGAGCCTACTCCCTAAAAACCACTGAGAGACTTGAAGAAGCTCCGCCAAAACACAGACAAGGAAAGGATATCCGTTGTTCTTTCGCGGAATATAGCCTAGGTAAGCTGTTGCCATCTTCCTTGTCGTGCTTTCTCCAGCGTCACGTAGCTTTGTCGTCCCGCTCTCAAAACCCGGCAGCTTTGCATCCAGAAAATCAAAACACATCTCTGCGTTGTGATTGGACATCCAGTTCTAAGGCCTGGGGCATTTATCGAGGCTAGACCCACTGAGGGGTGGGGCTAGTTTACTAGGCTACTCATTCCAAGTATTATGGATCAATATTTGCCCTAAAACATAAACTCAGCTTGGTAGGTCCAAGTTTAAAACCCAGCATGCTTTACTTTGGGGTGTTTATTTCTCTAAGAATCATCTGGTTGAGCTCTTGGTGACCATCCTAAAGTGCTCCGGTATATTCAGCTTAACCACATTTATACAGGAGCCTACTGATCAAAGCATTTCTGAATGGAGCATAAAGTGGCTCTGCTCTGCTTGAACCCTCAGGCTCCACTGGTTTTGATTCATACCAGCTCACTCTGCCATCCAAAACCAAGAATACGATCTAACAGTTTACATGTGATCGCAGCTGATGGAATAAATTATACAGGCCTTTCTTAGTCATAGCCAGACAAAAATATGCCAATCAGTAGGCAAACCGCAGTTATGTGACATACACAGAGGGACAGTAATATGTTGGAAGAGGAAGTAGGAATCAAACACCATCTGGCACAGAGGCACATCTGTGCCTCCATCACTAAAGATGTAATACTGCTCCACCCTGCAGACTCTGAGCCCCTGTACCCTGGATATTCACCCACGCGCTGTGACATGTACCAACCAAGGGCTGGTCTAGGCGTTTCAATGAGGGGAACGATGAAATTTGAAGAGATTTGTGTAAAAATATAGGAAAATAAAATGTTTTCTTGTTCTAAAATAATAAAACGTTGATGATTTATACTTGGCTGCCATTTAGAGATGGCAGAGTGTGGGCTGAGTCAGAGCACACCAACACGCTGTGGAGCCAAAACTGTTGAGAAATGAGTAAAAAAAAAAAAACAACAAACTTGACATTTGTTATGCAGTAGAGTTTTAAACTAGAATATGCTACAAACAAGGCTGTTAAGAAAATACATATTTTAATTCTGTATCGATTCTATTAATTCTAAAATATTTACTCTCATAAATAAAGATCATCAGATTTTCTACTATCCTTCAAATTACCATTAACTGCTTTGTTAGTTAGCTGTTGAGAGTTATTATATTCTTAGTATCAATATGCAACATAACTACACAGCAATAACAGCTAATGAAAGGTTTTTAGGGCAAATATTGATCCATAATACTTGGAATGAGTAGCCTAGTAAACTAGCCCCACCCCTCAGTGGGTCTAGCCTCAATTAAAGCAGGTTTAATCAAAAATAATCTAAATCTTGAGAACTGGAACTGAATCGATGTTTAATGTTGAATCGATCACCAGCCGTACTACGGACTACTACACTATTATTGCATCCAACAAACCTGCATCAATCCCATGGCTTGTTAGCAGGCCTCTGCAGCTGAATCACTGTTGATGAGCGTAATCTGTATTTGATATAGGTGTATTGGAATACAGGCGTATGCAAAAGCTACAGGGTGGTATCTACCGAGGACTGGGCAAGCAAACCTCAACTTAAGGGAAGTTAAATTCAAGACTTTTTTTTTTTGTCTCTTGAAATAAAACCTTAAGACCAACTTTACAAGAAAACCTGGTTGCGACAAATCTAACCTGACTACTGTTTTTAGTCATGCAGAAAACTTTTGGCTGAATAGCCAATTTTCATTAATTTTCCCTTTTCCCTTTTTTTCCGGTTAAAAGTTTTTTGTTGCTTCCCCCCAGGTTTTTTTTGCACCTTGTTTTTGTTTTTTTTTGTTTTCGGGTTGGACTTATAATGGTTACAGCTTAGCCGCTCGTTAAATGTCAAAAAATTGTTGTGAATTATTTAAATATTTGACATGAATTACAAAAATAAAATCCTATTTATGACTTGGTAACAATTTTAAGATATACGAAAGACTGATTTCAGACATTTTAACACCAATAAAGGCCTGATTTTTATATTAAAGAATTCAATGCCTTTTAAGACTTTTTAAGGATCGGCAGGAATTCTGCTCTCTTTTTTGGTCTGATGCAATAATCTACAATTCTGGGTTATTATTATCAATTAAAACTAATCACAAAAATCAGCAAAGATAAGTTCAGAGTATCTCCTAATGAGTCATTAGTCAAAGAGTTTCACTTTTGGAATAAAATAAGAAAAAATAAAATAATAAAAAAAATAAAATTCACAGAGAAGCACTACTTTCTTTTTGGGTATCAATATGGATAAAACTTTTTTTTCTCTTTTCAGACCTGAACAAGAGATGAGCTGTAAGGCCTTACTTTCTTGTAGTCCTTCATGTCCATGTGGTGGTCCTGGTGACGGTACTGATTACTGTTGGACAGGGGAATGATGGGGATGGTGTAGATGGGTTTCACCAGAGCCCGCTGCTGTGCTTCAGCCATCACCTCGGTGCCAAAGTCTGACATCACGTTCCTGATGAACCAAGGATAAATTAATTCATCTCATCTTTTTAAAGCAAAGTCAATGCATGTGTAAAAATTGTTAACATTTCTAGTAATGCACTCAAACTTTCACCAGCAGGAAAACAATTAGATGCAAAAAACAAAACAAAACAAAAAAAAAACACAGGAAGAGCCCCAAACGCAGCTCTGATGAGCTGTCCGAAGCGCACAGCACAGCCAGGCTGTGCTACCAAAACATCACATAATGAAGGTGTCCATACAGCAGCCGTCTAGGGACACTAGCTGTGATGCACAGACAGGAACCAGGGCAGGATAACAGGAGGAAATTGAAATGTCACTACAAATCAAAACCACTTCAAGGAGACGGGTCCAATTTAAGCTCCGTCTGACAGCTCCTTTCAGGCACTGGATTCATGTCCGGATGGATTGCAACGCCCTCCATTCGGAAGGGAGGAAAATATATAAAATTTAAACTGCAGCTGCCACAGAATATTGATTCTATAAACAACTAAACATTAGATAATGCAAACTTATAGTAGACCGAGAAGAATAGAAAGTAAACAAGCTAATACACTCCTGACGATAAGGCTGCATAAACAAGCTCTGCTCTGTATAGATTACAGTTAAAAAGTGAATGAATAAATTAACAGGAGCAGTGAACCAAGAGTTTACATCGATTCCCAAACTTTTAGCTTCTCTGATCTGCAAAGATACGACAACAGAGACTAAATTAAACCAAGCTAAAGTATACAGCTAGCCAAAACAAATCCATTAAAGGCTGTTTTAATACAGATCAACAACCCAGTCAAGCATTAACAAACACTTCTGAATGCAGGCCAGGCTACCATCCTTATGTTTCGCATTTCTAAGTCAGACATGGGGTTCCACTTGATATTTGAACAAATATCCACACTCAAGGCTGCTCAAGCCTTTTTTAGATGCTGAAGTCCACTGAATTTATGGCAGAAACTCCGGCAGTCATCAGGCTTTAAATATGAAAGGTGCCGGAAAAAAGATGGATGGATGAATGGAGGGAGGGACAAACAGAAACAGATGGAGGTTCAGACCAATGGACAGAGATGGAACAGAAGGATTGATAAAAGGATAGACAAACAAACCAATGGCTTAAAAAAGGAAACTGATCGGGGGGAAAAAAGCAGACTGATGATAGATCGGAATAAGACAAAAGTTAAATTTGATAACTAAACAGAAGGAAAAAAAAAAGATTAAAACAGTTTGGCAGTGAGATTGAAGAAAAAGACAAAAAACAGACAGATGAGATATAAATGGACAAAACACATATGGGTGGGAAGAAACGGATCGGATGTAAAGATGAGAGGTGAATGAAAGGTAAAACAGTATAAGACAAAGTTTGAAATGAAGTGTGTTCACTAGAGCTGGGCAACAAAACAACCATTATGACAGACATCTGATCAGTATCAATAGAAAAGACATTCCACAGAAAGATCTAAAACCTCTGATGCAGAACTGCACAGCATTCTGGGGGTCGTAGGCAGAATAAAGCATAACTTTCACAACCAATCTAAATAAGAACATCTTTTTAGAGACTAAACGTTAATTAGGTTTAGGCTTACCATTTGAATTCCCCTGGTCTTTATTTCAAACAGGTAAAAAACAACAAAGATAATCAATTAAGGTTTATATTGCAATATATCCATCAGACCTACTGTCCACAATTCTTTCTGCCCCATATAGGCAGAGCTGAGAATCCCTTTAAACAAACTCCATGCTTTTCTAGAACCATGCAGATCCTAACCGCGACCTTAAAGACAGTGGTGGATTTTAGATGAATAAACTAAAGCCTAAAACAAACAGTTTAACATAGAAGCTGCTTAAAGCTGTGGCTCAGCCTGAGGGGATGGGAACACATTCATAACAGGAAAGGAAACTCCATAAAGCTGCTGAGACAATTTCCTCTTGGAAAAGAAAATAGAAACAAGCAGTTAAAAAACAAAACAAAAAAAAACAATCAGAACATATAATTAAACGCTGATATCCGACCCACAATGGAAGGCACGATGTGACCAACACTCTCTCTGCAGCCCTTTCACCCCAGGCTTTCTGCTTCTTACCTTTTCTCTACTACCTCCAAGGTGAGGTGCAGCAGTTCCCTCTTGACCTTCTCCCTCTTCTTGATCATCTCCAGGATGGTAACAGCGCGGCTCAGGTCTCTGCGTAGCTTCAGCATCTTTTCGTACGACGCCTCGTCATTCTTTCGATTCTATCAACAGAACAAACATTCATCAAGCCTCTCCAAACTGGTTCAAGTGACAGTTTGTGAGCCTGCAGGCTGACAGTTTAGGATTCGAAAGAAAACCGTTCATATAAATGAGCAACTTGATGATGGTCATATTACCTTCCTGGTTTGCATCTTCTCCGTCCGTCGGCGGAAGGCCACGTAAGGGTCGCTGGTGCTCGAGCCATCCCTCTTCTCCTGCTTGACGGTGGGGATGAGCGAGCCGCTCTTACAGGTTTTCCTTTTGCGGCTCCAGTAGTCAAAGACCTCCTTGATCAGATCATCGTCCTCCTTCAGCAGCAGCTTGGCTTCCTGCAGACTGACAAGCTGCAGAGACGCATGCAAAAGCACAAATTAGTTCTACCAGAACAGTTGGGGTGCTATGGCATGTTTTCAGTATAAACACGTAAAAATAAATAAATAGATGTTACAGCAAAAACAGAAATGGTCAGATTAAAGTAAAAAAGCTTCAAAATGGCTTTGGTTTACAGCCACTTTGACAGCAGTTGATAAACTGTTTAAAATACAGCATACATGGATAAGAATAGCAGTCTGCGAACATCTAACCACAAATTGTGCATTTATGGCAAGAAAAACCAGTTATGTAATTTTTAAATCATTCAGTAAGTCATCTTTCACAAAAAGTAATACGGGGTTTATACAGGAGTGCGTAACTCTAATGCTCTAAGAAAAAATGTTAATGTCATCAACAAGTACCCATGACATTCAACAGATCAGGCTGTAAACAGCTGACCCAGCCCAGTCTAATTAACTACGCTAACAGTTATTACTGTATACGCCGCTAAACAAGATGTGTTCTGAATGCATTCAAAGCAGAAGCCTCCTCCCACTGGGAGAACAATACCTGCTGTCCGCTGCCTTTCTCCAGCCGATCAATCATCTCTTCAAACTGCAGCGGGGTGATCTCCATCTTCTTCTTCAGCTTATTCACAAACGTCTCGTCCTCTGTATCCAGGTCATAGTCTGGCAGCTCCGTATCCAAACTGAAAGCTGAAAGAGGAGAAAACAGGGAATTTGATTATAACAAATAAATCACCATCAACATTAAATAAGACGTATTAATGATCTCAAAAAACAAAATAACAGCATTATTTTGATATGGGGAAACTGAGGCAACTTTACTCCAAGTGCTTGAAATGCCAGGGCTCCTATTAAGTCTTCTCTTTAAAGTTCACAACTTTTCCAGACTTTGACCCTATTTATTATTTTACTGTGACCTTCCAGTATAAAAATGATTTTAATAGATATTTCTAGGTTCTAATGACTTTATAAATAAAATTTGAGAAAATAGAGGAGATGGATAGGCAGATGCTGACCAGGGAGAAGGATGGACTAAAAGATAAAGTACATAAATAGAGTAGTGGAAAAGATGGACTACAGACAAACTAACGGATGGACAGACAGACGGAAAAGGAAGATGCATGGATGAGGAATGGTTACCAGGAAAAGATGGAGTGGTGAAAGACGGACTGAGCAAACCGGTATCCCCAACCTCTGTCCTCGAGGCCCGCTCTCCTGCAGGTTTTAGAGGTTTCCTTGCTCCAGCACAGCTGATTTTAATTGAAAGCTGATTAACAGGCTTTTGGTCTACTGCAATCATAATCAGCTGTGCTAAAGCAGAGAAACCTCTAAAACCTGCAGGACAGCGGGCCTCGAGGACCGAGGTTGGGGATGCCTGATCAAGGGGATGGGGTTACATGTAGGGACAGAGGAGTAATGGATGCTTACGTAGGTAAGGGACGCATTAATGGATGTAAAAGGGATGGAGACACCAGGATGATTGAAGGACAGAGATTAAAGGACCAATGAATGAAAACCTGATGGATGAGGGAGGATTAATTAAGGACTGCTGGGGGACAAATTAATGGACATGCTGATAAGAGAGGATCAGATGAAGGAATGTATAACCTCTGACCAATGAGATCTGGAATAAAGTCTACAGACAGAGAGTGTGAAGGAACACTGGCTAAAAAAAAAAAAAAAAAAAACCTGTCAAGCAAAGAGAGAAGCTTCAGCTCGCTCACAGAGAGCGACCTGAGCTCTGAACACAATCCCAGAGCAGGCGGCCTGCTACTCACGCTGTATGTGAATAAGCTGCTTTGGCATTTTGAAGTCCCCGGGGTAGAGCAGCTCGTAGTGCGGGATGTTGCGCTCCGCCTCGGGGACCGGGATAACCATGCTGTCCCGCTTCTCTCCGTACACCTGGTGGGCCGAGATGGCTCGCTGGAGATGGTGCTCCTGGAAGAGAGATGGAGGGAGCCATTAAAATATGAGGAGTGTCTTCATTTGTTCTCATTTACTAACAAGCTATTGAGTTAAACTAGTTTTAATAAATATCATTTAAAACAATTGCCACTTTAACGGCTTAGTTCCTTCATTGAAGTCATTATCCACTATGCATGTGTAACAAAGGAATCTGCACATAAACCCAACATTGACGGATCTTATTAAAGGGATGGTCTTCACATTCCCTTTACAGCCTTTTCAATGCTTGATGCAACAGATGGCCGCTGCAGTCTCAGAGGCTTCAGGTCCATCTCTCACCAACAAGTCTTCTCCTACTCATTTTACACATTGCACGCTGTTCATTCGTTTCTTGGCCTGATTTTCAAATGTGGGTCAGCATTAAATAAGATACCCTTTAAAAATCCAACTCATTTTCCATCTCTTGCAAAGCAGTTAAGATCAGCTTTGAAATAAATAAGGTTCAGGATTGAGAGCGTTGCATGGAGCGGGATGACAGAAGCCAGGAAAGGGCAAAAAACACACAACCGGTTTCCCAGATGTGGACCTCTGCCCTGCGTGTTTTATATTAGCACAGAACTTAAACAGCTTCTAGAAGGAGTTCAGCTTTTCTCGTATAGTATTAGCAACATCTGACATGGGTCACACATGCAAAATACAATGAAATAAAAGGATGAATGAAGAGCAAAACAATCTTGTGCATCATCATCTCAACAGGGTTTACTGCAGCTTTTGTGTTTACCAAACATCATCCTTTCTTTCTAGACTTGATCTGAATGTTGCAACTTGGTCAAGGCATGTTTGTATTATCCTGATGTGTTGAAACAAAACAATCTACTTCCATGAGTAGACACCAGAGTTCAGAACTAGTTCAGAGCCAAATGACCCTCTTACTTGTGTAAGAAAACCACAGAAGGCCCATCTAGCCTTTCACTGTGCAGTAGGCCAAACGTTTTGGGTGCTGATGTGATTTCAGGCGATTTCTCATCCCTTAAATCCACAGTCCTCCTCTTAAGGAGATGAATCAGAGCAGTGATGCAACAGGGAGGCAATGGCAGACCCTCCCCATTTCTGCTTCTAAGGATGCTAGTTCATGGGACACTTTACTGCATTTCACTGCTGAATTTGACCAAAATGATAAAAGCATTTGCTTGCATTAATGGCAGATGGAACTAAAGCAACAATCAACAGAGCAGGAAAAATGCTGTCACATTTTTGGAAGAGCTCTGATGTTGATTTAACTCTATCAGACTGACACTATACAGTGATCATCTCCTCATTTGAGGAAATGGAATGAAGAGACAATAGATACAGGATCAATAATCAACCAGCATTTTTCTCTGAGTCCTGTTTCAAAGTGATTGAAAAAGGAATGAAGAGGCAAATAAGAAAAGTAGCTTACTGCTAACCTCAGTAATGTTTAGCCTTCTGACGTTAATCCTCGAAGATTTCACTTTTTTTTGTTAGCTCTTTTAAAATATTTATGCCAACCTTAAAGTTGTAAATACAAATAAAGCAGGTGGCTTTTAACTTGCAACCAGCACTAGCTCATTCGGTTCCAAAGCTAAAGCACCCTGAGCCGCGGTGATTATTAGCAGGACACCTTCCAGCAGACGTCCCCAACCTTCCTCTGACCTGAAACATCCTGACTGCAGCAGCTTTGATCCTCACCGCCATGCTTCATAGCCCAAGGATTTCCTCTGCCAAGCGTAGATTAAAGGCTTTTGTGAATGGACATGTGGGAAAAACTGAAGAGGGTTCGTTTAAGAGCTACGGCTACAGTTTTCACGCTAGATTTAAATCAAGGGATCGCAGCGCAGCCTTTAAACATAGGAGTGAAAAAGATATGTGAAGCCAACTTATATATAACCTTACCAGTGTTCAATTTTAGTTATGTTAATACCAAAATTTTAAAGCAACAGAGGTTATATGCCTGTTTAAACCTTATTCCAGGCAGTGCATATGTGGTTTGTTTACATTCCAACCTGCTATGGTTAGGAAAATCTGCATGCTTATCATCTAAAATGTATCCAATCAAATGCTGCCTCTATTTCAGCCTTTGTGACCGTGACAGATCAAACATTTATAGATAAGGCAGCTTTACACCCCTTCTAAAAGAAAAGAATCATAACAATTTGAAGCTTATGAACTAATTTTTAGTATGTCCACACAGAGAGAAAATGTTCCTTTAATGCTTACATCATATGAAAGTGATGCTGCTCGTGGAGGTTAGCATAACAACAAATCTACTTGAGATGTGTTTTTGATAAACTTCTGGGGAATGCGTCCTTCAAAAACAAGCAAATACTGTTTATTATAAATCAACATAATATTTCCAAAACTCGGATATTATTTCTCTTTTTCTAATGAGTTCATAAATAGAAGAATCGGTCATAGAAGAGCAACCTTTGAAGTCCTTTATCTGCAGTTATACAGAAACAATAAAAATTTTTATTAATAAATTATTTAAAAAATTAACGGCTCATTTTGTGACATTTCATCTTCCAGGTACAAAAAAAAAAAAAAAAAAACACAACCAAGAAAAATCAGACAAGTAAACGTAACCACGGCAACCGAGATGAGGCTTCCAGTAAGTCTTTCTTTTCCCCTCATGCCAACCAGCAGGAGCTAAAGAAAGCTTAAAGACAAGCAGCTTTGATAAATCAATGCAAAAATGAATTACTGCTGGGATATTCATCATTTCAATACATTATAAAGTAGGTTTGCATTTTCCTGACTCTGTTGACGCATGCAGCGAATAGCGATTACTCACAAGCACGACTCAGCTGGGACAATCTATTCTTCAGCTAAAGTTCCCCAAAATTCAACAAGCCCAATTTCCACTTTATCACTGAGTATTTTTCCAACTAAAGACTTCAAAAAAAAAAAATATATATATATATTTGTTAACAGATGTTTGTTATGCAGCCCAACAAAAACTGGAATGATTGGCCAGCTAATTTGTCAGGGAATGTACTTTAATAACTAGTTCCACCGTTCACTACAGCTTCAGATCTTCCTCCTTTATCTGATATTGTCTCATTTACTGTGATACCGAGTCTCTACACCCTAACTGATGCTGCGGCGTTAGAGTACGGCCACATCTACGTTTTAACTGAGACCTAAAGACCAAGCAACAATTAGGCAGCTCCACACAACAAGTATTAGCTTCGGTATCTGCATCGTGAACAAAACATCAATAATCCCATTTCACTGCAATTACAGCTGCACAGATTACGCAGCTTGGAAGTTAATTACATTTTCCCAGGTCTGATGCCATGAATGCTGATGAGGTCCACAATAACATGGGGATCACATAGGAGAAAATGGGCTTCATCCTATATTTTCATAGAAAAATATTTGCATTATTTCAAACTGATTATATATAAAAAGTAAAATAAAAAACTGATAGAAGGTAAAATAAATGAAGTGATGGAGACATACAAATAATTAACAACTGGATGAATCAAACGATAGGTGGGAAGGATGAGGGGATGGGCAGAAACTGCTCAATAGATAAAAACAGACAGGAGCAGGGGTGGATTGATACATAATCTAATGGATGTATAAAAAATGTACAGATGGTGAATGGCAGACCAACAAATAACCGGATAAATCAATATATGGATAGTTAAAGAGAAGGATACAGTTATAACCATAAAACTGATATATTCCCAAGTTTTTCTTTTGCAGCCTTAAGAACCATCAAACAACTAAAATAAATTAAATCTGCTTAAGATTCAGTTGGCTGACTGAAGCCCACAATCAACTTCAGAAACCTGTTTTCTGTGATTTATAATTCTCTTATAATCAGTTAATATTCTCATTAAACAGAAGCATAACAGTCATATCTCCCTCGGTCATTCAGCTGCCTAAGAATAGAGACGGAGCTGCTGCTGGAGAGGATGTGGGTCAGGGAGCCAAGCCATGTAGAGCCTTGTAGTAAAACTGTCCCCTTTATCTCCTCTGTCACGCTGTTATGTAATGACACCGTGTGTGTGGATGTGTACAGTAGGTGGGAAAGGGCCAGCATGGGGTGAGATGGGCTTTCTGCTGACTGTGCATTGTCAGTGTTTTCCTTGTGTTTCTGTCTGCTGCAGCATCCCAAAGGACACGCAGCCACGCTCCCAGCGTAAAGGCAATCCCAGACAGAAATATCTCCCAGATATTACTGTAATAACATTTTTTTGCTAGCATAAGTTTTCACATTTAGCCTATTTGTTCAATACATTCAGGATATTTTGATACAAATCGTTAATGTTAAGTATCAGTTTATTCCACAACATATGAAACAACACCGCTGTATGTGGCTTCTAGTTCTGATGCTCAATAAAAAAGGTTTATTTCACAGCTTTTTTTTTTTTTATTTACATTTGGACTTATTTAGATAAGCAGTTTTAATACTAAAAAATAATATCCAAAATTACAAAACGTGTCGGTTATATAAGAGATGCAGATCTTTTGAAGGAGTGTCTAAATCTGCTATTTAAAAATAGAAAAAAAAAATGAAATATAGTTTTATTTTTATTTGTTAAGACTGCCCAGTTGAAACAAAACACACCAATATATTGTAACTTTGCTTTTATTTAAAATCCAAACAAATTATTTACATTACTGTTGAAAAAGGATAGATATCCAACGCATTTGCCATTAGTGATTTTAATAAGCAAACAGAAAAATATTGAATAAGTACTGATTCCCAGTTAGAATCTGTAATATTTGTAGTGTTTTTATTTTGTTGGGGTTCTTTTTAATCAATCAGACCACCAGTGCTGTGCAGAAATTAGAGGCAAAAGCAACAACGTTACTCTGATTCCCAGATGACTGAAACATGTCCATTAATAGCATTCTAAATGACCAATTAAAAATATTTTAATGTTGTCATGACTACGCATTTTTCCTTCTGATCAAGAAAACAAATAAATAAAAAATTCAGATATTCAGCAGTCGTGAGTGTTGCATTTTAAATGCCAGGTGTTTGAACAGTCCAAGCCAATATTTTGGCTATTAGGATGAACTGTAACTGCTCTCCATTCCTAGGCCCAGTGTTTATTTATAATGGCTGAGATTCTACAACCCAGAGAAATGAGGAACACTAATGATAAGGAAAGGGAAAAAAAAGACATTAAGAAAATATTGGTGAATCCTCAAAGAGGCAATTTAATATCCAATTTCCTGACATAGAGCATCCTTTCTCCCCAAAGATATCTGACCAACACTAAACATTGTTAGACCAAACATAACTGAAGACAAGTAGTAGCTTCCCTCGCCTAAATTACCTATTACACCACTAGAATATCAGTTGTTGCAGTGACCGCATTAGCAATTTAAAGCAGTTTACACACTTGGTTTTTTGTTTGTGTGTATGTAGGGGGGGATTCAGCCAAAAGATCTGTCCCACTTAAAACTTAGATGAAAGAGCCCCTACATTAAATGTTAATCCAACCTTTTAAGCTCTATAATAAAAAGTTATCCCACACATATGATAAATTGTACTAAGTTCACACAAACCTCCCCCAAAGGACATTAAAATATGCATTGCAACTTCCAAATAAACGAATTTTATTTTAAATGTCTACAACCACCAATAGAGGTAGCTAACATATCATCCACACCATAGATATTAGCCTTTCCTAGCCATTGACTCCACATAAAGCTTCAAATCTGCTGCCATGTAAACAACAATCATCAAGATGTCACAGGAAAAAGCATAAAGCGTAAAGATTAAGCCACAATGCGAGGTTTAAGTCCTCTTTTCTTAAGCGGTGAGCTAAATGCCTCCCTGTATTATCCAGCAGTGCCCCAGCACAGCACGCATGGCACGGCTTCAACTGTCAACACACCAATTCCTAGCTGTCAAACTTCCCAGAGGTTCAGTCTCCCCCTACCGTTCATGCATAGGAACCACAAACCATCCAAGGCCTGTGCCCGCCTTTAGCAACGAGAAAGTCAACAAAATGGTGGCGCCGACAGAAGTCACGTGACTTCTTTGTGTATTCGTGCGCCGATTGCAAAGTATCAGACGGCTAAAACACGACATTTCAGCAAAATATCATAAGAAGGCGAAATTACAAATCCTCCGTTGTTGGTGGAGTTGAGCTAAATAAAGTGTTCGTCGAGATATGTCGTGCGCACGAAACGGCAGCAATGGCGGCCATTTTGCACCAGCTTGCGCAGGTAACATTGTGGCGCCGAAAACGCCATCAAATAAACCCAACAGCAGCCGAGCGCCAACTAAAATAACATACCGATTCCTCCTCTTTTTCCATCCCAGTTGGCATCTGCGGCACCGCCCTGTTGATGGATGCATATTCGTGCAGGTCGGGCAAGTCCTCGCAGCGGAAGACGGGCAGGGGCTTACAAGCATCCAACGCCCGCGCCCGAAACGACAGTTTACTCATTTCTTATATTAAAAGATGCAGCATAAATCTCTGGGAACTGCCTGGAGTAACAGCACGTCTGCTTCGAGTCCTCATTGAGGAATCTGTCGCGGTCTCTTTAGAGTCGGTCTGACGGGCAGGCTTCAGGTCCGGGTAGCAGCGCGAACAGAGCCGGGCAGGCCCGGGTCTCAGTCGCTGTCTGTCGGTCTCTCTCGCTCCTGCGCTCCGCTGTTCCTGCCCGGTTCAATACGCCATGGCCAACATGGCGGACATTACAAACTCATGCAGCTCAGTGCTCGCTCCGAGCAGCCCAGCCCCCTCGGTCACACAAACAGCCATTCCCACGCAGCTTCGCACGCGTGCGCGCTCGAGAAACGCTTTGGGTGGGAAGGAAAGACGAGGGAGAAATGATGCTGGGGATGGGTTCGCAACTTCCACACTCGGGATGTTAACTGTTAGTAGGCCTATATTGGAGTGCTGATAGTTTTGACATAAAGATTAGAAAGAAAAAAAAAAAAAAGATTTTTGGGAAGATACAAAAAAAAAAACTAGTACATTTCTATTTCCTACTTTGCAAAACCAAAAACTAATGAATAATAACCACCTGTTGCAGAAAAAAATCAATATAAACCAATAAACTTCAAGACCTATTGTATTTTTTTAATGAAATATAGACAGGACAGGAATTACCCAACCTATTAAGATGATTAGCAAATAACGCCACCATGTGGAGAAAATTATCTCCACTGCAATAAAGATCCAACTGCTCAAACAATAATAATATCAATGTCAATTAAAAGTTACACATACACATATTTACATACATACACACATATATACATACACATATATACATTCGTACATTCATACACGCATACATATATATATATATATACACATATATACATTCGTACATTCATACACGCATACATATA